TCAAGTTGCTCCTGACACAGGAAAAAAAATATCTTAGACATGTTTTGTGACATTTTGTGATTACTGCTGTTGCTTTCTCAGAACAGATTGTCTTTCATATGCCATATCAAAAGTTTCTATCAAACATTTCCATGGTATGGGGAGCTGTCCTTTAAAAAACATACACTGAAAATCCCCAAAGATTTTAGAACTACTTTCACTGCTTTTTGTATTGTAGCTTTTGGACACACTTCAAATGCCTCCTTACCTATGTGATTTGTCATTTCTGTTCATGATAAATTATATTTTGATAGCAAAACCCAAACTTAATTAACAAATTAACTCTGTGCAGGAAAAAAGCTGATAACAAACACATTTTTGTTTTCTTCCAGTAACATGCTGAAAGTTTTTAAAACATAGATTAAACAGATCCGTTTGGATATATATACGGGTCATTTTTCTTATTGAAATGTTTTTGAAAGTAATCAGAAGTCATCAGAAGCAATGAATCCATATGATTCATGCACATTTATCAAATTACTTAACAGGTGATGTTTTTGACAAATACATTTACTGAAAAATACACCAAATATTTATGACATAATACACCAAACCAAACAGTACTTCTAGGCAACCTGTGTTCAATGAAGTTAGTAAAAAAAACCCAGTGTGAACACTTCAGTTAAGACTCAGACTTTATAAGAATCATACTCAAGCATCATTACAACAGTGTAACCTTTTGATTTCAGTAGATTTATGTGTGTCTGGCTTTTCTTACCAATGAGTGATTTATGTTGAAATTCAAGATAATGTTATCTCATTCATATGTGTGTGTGTGTGTGTATCTATATCTATATCTATATCTATTAAAGTCCTGCCCTAAATTTATGTTTTGGAAAACAAATATTATTAATACCAATAGACATTTCTAAGGAAATGTGGATTAAATTATTAGTTAATTAATTCAAAATTTAATAATTCAGAAAAATGTAAGAAAGTTACAAATAAAATTTGTGAATTCTATAACCAGTATGTGTAATTTATTAGTGTACAGTTTTAATGCTATGTTTTTTAAGTTCTATAAGTTTGAAATCAGGAATAATTACTAATAAGGCAACATTACAAAATAAGCCTTCCAAAATAAGTTTGGAAATTATTCAGAAACGTTATGAAATTACTTGACTTTAATATTTCTTCCTTCAAGTGACTTATGTCTGTAAAAAATCTAGGAGAGTCCTACGATGTAATACAAAATATAATTCCAAATTATAAAATAATATGCATTTAAGTTTCCTCTTGTATTACATGGATGCATGATACATTGAATTGAATGGACCTTTCATTCTGATAAGAGTATTTAGGATACAGTATAATATACCATGACAGCCAGTTTGGTTTTAATCATTTCAGCACTGGACTATGACTCTAGAGACCAGTGTTAGATTCTGCACTCAACCATGAAAACCCATTTGGTGACCTTGGGCGAATCACACACACTAATCCCCAGAACACTCCATAAAATGACCTTAGGGTCACCATAATTCATAATTCAGAGCACACAACAACTTTAAGAGCATTGTGATTGTTTGTATTTGTCTCTAACAATAAACTACAGTTTTACTAAAACTTAAAGAGAGCAAACAAATGGATCAGAAACACTAAATAGAAGAATAATTACATGAAATAAAAACTATTTGATAATAAGAATACTAAAAAGAGGGGGTGGGAGGAAACATGCAAAAAAAGCTTTTATCTGGTTGCCATGCCCAGATTCTCCATTGGCTGGGTTTGTGATTACACAAATACTTAGTGTTACATTGGGGTCCAGATTTTTTGATTTGATAGGACAAAGGACAATGTTGTCTCAAAGGAGTGATCTAAAATAATTTTGGAATTTCTGATTTTCTCATCCTACAAAAAATGAGTTCATTTTGTCAGGAATAAATTCTGTCATCGGAGAGCTACAGCGAATCCATGGAAGAACTGTCAACAGCTGTCTGCTAGTCCTGATGACTGTATTTCCCTTTGTGATATCATACACAGATCATGTTGGAAACAGTTGATCGTTTCCTTATGATTCTGCCACAAGCAGACATATACAGAGGGGACCTCTTAACCTGTTGAAAGGCAGCACAAGGCAAGGACAAAAATCAAGTTTGTTCATCTTTCCACAGTTTCATCCACTGTAACTATATTTACCCAAACACAAGCATTGTACCATTTTTAATTTTGGGATGCAATGGTTTTCTAATACGAATACATCCCCAGATTTATGCAATAGCTAGACGAACACCATTAATTACAATAGTTCATTGTCAGCACCACTATAAATGCAAACAGATAAGTTTTGTGAAATCTCTAGTGATTTATTTGTGGTTGAGAAGTTGTGACAAATGTAAAAGTATAGTACATTTAAGAAGAATGCATTTGCTAAAATTTATTTAGCAGTTTAACAACTGGAGGTACAAAAGTGACAGCAAATGTATAGTATACAAGAGGTACGTAACTTTTAGGATAAAGGAAATAAAAAAATGAAAACCTAATATATTTTTCTATTGGAAATTCATCTTCCTGCTGTATCAGCATTATTTAAATTATGTCTAAGAAGTTACTAAATGAAACAAGCATTACATATATACAAGGGAACAAATGACATGCATACACACACACACATACATATATATATACAGATTGTTCAGTTTTCAATGTACGTTACATAAAATGTTGCTTTTAAAGGAGTCCACTGTACAATTCTGAAAGATATATTTAATAGTTAGTATAAAAATACATAACAAATCTTAATTTGTGGTCAGAAATTCCTTATTTTGCATGTTATATATATATATATATATTCCAAATGATTAATAAAAGCATTTAAAACATGCAAAATAAGGAATTTCTGACCACAAATTAAGATTTGTTATGTATTTTCATACTAGCTATTAAATATATCTTTCAGAATTGTACAGTGGGCTCCTTTAAAAGCAACATTTTATGTAATGTACATTGAAAACTGAACAATCTGTATTTAAAAGAACTTAGACCAGGCATGGGCAAACTTTGGCCCTCCAGGTGTTTGGGACTTCAATTCCTAACAGCCTCAGGCCCCTTCCTTTTCCCACTCAGCCGCTTAAGCAGCTATGGGGGAAAAGGAAGGGGCCTGAGGCTGTTAGGAATTGTGGGAGTTGAAGTCCAAAACACCCTGAGGGCCAAAGTTTGCCCGTGCCTGGTCTAGACCTATTTATCACAAGATTAGTAAACCAATTTTGTACATATTACAGGGGAGTCAGGCTTACTAAAGATTTTTTTCATTATGAGTATGAGTATAAAGCGGTAATATTAAGAACAACAATATTCACATATCAAATAAATGAAAATTGCTTCATTGTGTTGTGGATTATACTGTAATTCATTGTAATTTAAGTTTACATATTTGAGACTTGAAGTATAACAACAAAGTGAAATTAAAATTTCCTTTCCATTTTTAGGTAATAGCATTTTAAGTTATTACACTTACCCATCTGCCAATTTAAAATTATATGACCTAGAAATTTGAATTTTCTTCATACATGTTATATATTTAGTGATGATTTGGAAAAACCAATTTCTTTATAAACCACTAGGTATGTAGTATGAGAACCTGTCAACTTCTGAAAAAAGTGTTATAATTGGTTGAGGGAAATGATTGAAAATAGAAATAAATCTGTTAAATATAGAAAATGCAGAAAGAAAACTTTTTTTTTTCATTATTCAACTTGCATTTAAAGGAAACATGATCATGGCTTCCCTTGTATTTCTAATAATACAAGGGAAATGCTATTACTTTCTCTTTCTAACCACAACTTCCTTTTCTTTTGCATGTGCCTGTCTGTATAACTTACCTTTAGCAGTTTTATCATGGGGCCAACATCTGTCATACAAAACTGCTTGGAATGCTGGTAGCACATTTAATCCAACCCTAGTACACACATATATATATATAGCCAAAGTGACACCTCGATTTACTTTCAAAATCAAACAGGCATATTACTAGCACAATAAATCCTTAACTGAGTATGTGAGTGTGTATCCTATGTAAATATGCTTCAGTAAGGAACTGAAATTGATTATAATAGAGGGACATTTTCTTAGATTTCACTATTTAGTAGATTAATAATTCAAATCCTTTTCCAAACATGTTCAGGACCCTGTATATAAAATTGTATGTAGCATGTAAAAACTGGAAATTACAGAATCTGTGCCTATATAGCAGGCATGGGCAAACTTGGGCCCTCCAGATGTTTTGGACTCCAATTCCCACCATTCCTAATAGCCTCAGGCCCCTTCCTTTCCCCCCTCAGCTGCTTAAGTGAAGGAAAGGGCCAGAGGCTGATAGGAATTGTGGGAGTGGAAATCCAAAACACCTGGAGGGCTGAAATTTGGCCATGCCTGCTATATAGACATGAACCTCATTTATTTCCTTGGGACATATCCCAGCCATAGGATTATGGCTTCCTCTACAAAACAAAACAAATGAAGCTTTGTAGTGTATAGGAATCCGTATCTACATAGACGTAAATCCCATTTATCTCATTGGGATTTACTCCCAGCCAAAGGAGTATAGGATTAAAACATCCTGTATAAAATAAAGCAAAAGAAGAAATGCCAACTTCTCCGAGAGTTAAGCACTGGCTGAAAAAAGAAACTAGGGAAATAAACTGGCTGATGGAGTGGGGAAAGCGCTTCTCTTTTCCAAATGGGGAATCCCGGAAGGGAAACCCAGGTGTCAGAGGCGCACACGAGTCCAAACTCCCCGAGAGTTCCCCCCTCTGGCCTGTTGGGAAGTCTGGACGAGCGATTTCATGGTTCAACCGCATGGCCTATGCCTTAGCCGTCATACAAAGCTTTTTGCGCTCCCCAAAAGTGACACCAGGCCAGGAGTGGCCAGGAGGAGTCTTGGGCGATTCGCCCATCCCGGGCTGCCCCTCTCCACCTCCCCTTCCCGTCTCGCAGGGAGAAGCCCCTTGTGTGCCCTTCCTTACCTGAGCTGTCGCTTTTCCGCTTGCCGACGCGCTTCTCGGCCTCCACCGGGGACAGCGCCTGCCTGCCATAATCTCCCGGCGCGCCCGTCGGGGTGCTGCTCCCCAAGCTCGGCGAGTTCGAGCACAGTCCCGGGGGGCTATTGCCCAGCTCCGGGGGTCCCCCCGAGTCGGGCTGGAGGCACAGGCTATGCCTGGACGAGGCGGGCGGCGGAGGAGGAGGAGGAGGGGGCGGCGGCGGCGAAGCCATCTGCGGAATGTGCCAATTCGTTTGCAAAGCCTGGTGAGGCGGCGGCTGTTGCGGCTGCTGCTGCTGTTGGTGATGGTGGTGATGGTGATGGTGGTGGTGATGCCCCCTGTGGTGCTGGCTGCCGAACATGCCGTCCTCGCTGGGGTACCCGGCTATGATGCAGGAGGAGGAGGAGGCCGAGAGCTCCGGGTAGGACATGTGGTGGTCCGAGCGGCCGTGCAAGGCGAGGGCGGACTGCGAGAAGGGGTGCAAGCCCTGGCCGGGGGCATGGTGGGGGCTGCGCAGGCAGCCGAAGAGCGTGTGGTCCATGGCATGCACCAAGCGGGACCCGCGCGCCTCCGGCCCCGAAAGCCCGCCGCGGGCCCAGAACCACCAGGCGCTGGTGCCCGGGTCCTCCTCGCCCCCCTCCTCCTCCTCCTCCTCCTGCCCCTCGGCTCTCCTGCCAGCCACCCCCGAAGCCAGGCAGGGCACGTCCAGGCAAGGCGAGGCGGGCCAAGGGAGCGCAACCGGGAATAATAATCCAAGTCCTCGGCGCGCAACCGGTCCCGGCAGTGGCTTCACTGGCTTGGCTCGGAGGTGGGGGAAAAGGGGCGCGGGGCTCGGCTCTGCCGGCAAAAAGGAGGTGGTCCCGAGTGCTGCTGCTGCTGCTGTTGTGGCTGCTCCTCCGCGGGGGAAGCGGCTCGCCGAGGTTATAAATACAGGAGTGTGTAACGTGAGCCGGGGGCTGGCTTAGGCTGCACGGCGCACTGACCACAGGCAGCGGCCTCCCCGCTTCAGCCTCACAGCCCTGCCACCGGCCACTCGGAGGACCCAAGCCCTGACCCCAGGGGGGCTGTCCTCATGCCTTCTGAGCCAGGGTCCTCCTCTCAACTTCTGGCAGCCCAACTCTCTTGGTTCCCCCCACAGTAGATCCCTATCACTCTCAGCTGGAGCCACTCCTGCTGCTCCTTCCCTCTGGGCCTCATCACTACTACCCAAGGAAGGACGGGGAAGCAATGGCTAATGGGCACTTCCATTGACTAAACCTCTCTTGGGTGGTGCAGGATGCGGCTCAGAGTGTCACTTCCCTCACTCCCCCAATTGGTTCTCCTAAGCAGCGTCTCCTCCTACTTCCATGATATTGTCCTCCATGAACAACATGGGACTGGACCTTCTCCAAACCATCTGCCCCTTTCACTGGACAGGAGTGCTGAGTTTATTTATTTATTTATTTATTTCCGTCACTTTTACCCCGCCCTTCTCACCCCCAAGGGGGGACTCAGGGCGGTTTACAGAGAAAGGCACAATTCGATGCCTTGTCACATATACATACATATATAAAAACAATTAAGCAATTACAAATTAAAAATTAGTTGAAGTTGTTGGGTAGGGGAAATCTGGGCAAATCTTTCTGGATGATTCTTGGTTCTGTGTGACTTCCCTCACTCCCCAATTGATTCTCTCCTAAGCAGCAGACCCTGGATAAAGAAGGCATCTCCTCCTACTTCCATGATATTGTCCTCCATGAACAACATGGGATGGGGCCTTCTCCAAACAATTTGCCCTTTCCACTGGACAGAAGTGTCGAGTTGAAATGGTTGAATGGGGAAAAGCTGGGCAAATCTTTCTGGATGGAACTTGGTTCTGATCTTTCACTTTATGCCACCAGATCAAGGAGCTCAATGTGCCACAACTGAGAAATCAAGACCTGCTTAATTGGTCTCGTGTTTCAATCCTTTCTCCTTTGCCCATTTACACCATTCTTCAAGGTTGCATGGACCCAGCAGACTCCATTGCCTTTGTTATGTCACCTAGAACTAAAAGTGACTAAGTAAGCAGGCAGAGGTGGCAGCTAGAACTAGGTTGTATCTCCTGCTGCATAAATCCTTCTGTTCACCTTCACCTGTTGACTAAAGCTCTGTATACTCATACTGGCATCAAATGTGTCCCCTTTCAGCAAGAGTGGTGAATCTAGTCCAGGCTCTAACCCTATATTTAAAAGAGCTATCCAATGTGCCAAAGCTGTTTTGGAGACAGCATTCAGCACCTTGGATACCTCTGCTACATTTTAGACTAAAATTTTGAACTGTTCCTCAGGTTCAGCTGCCACTGAAACCATGCTGCTTAGAAAAAAGGTGGTAAACTGGTTCCAGTTTCTCCACACTTCCCTTTGCACATGTTCTCCCACTAATGGAAACCCCCAAAATCTTGAGTTCAGAAGCTCTACTAGAATAGAGACCAGAGACAGGTAGTTAGGTTAGGGACTGGTTGTGAGACCTTAGCAGCTATCTGGCACTGTTGTGAGATGTCTCCTTGAAAAGAGTCAGCATGATGGAACTTCTTATGAACAATACTGACTTTTTGGTCTTTATTCTTCTCTTCATTTCAACACAATCATCAAATTTCCTTTCCATGATCTCACTCATGAACTGATGAACAATAGCCCATCACATGTCACAGTAAACAATTTAGTCCTGGGACCTCCTTCCTCATATGTAGGCCAGTATCTGGGACACAAGTCTATTTAATGCAACATGGACACTGACTAAAGAGAAGCCTGGCCAATTGAGCTTCCCACCACAAATATACACCTACATTCATAGTCATCAATGAGACAATTTACACATGGTTTAAAGATGTATATGGTGAGACTAAGAACCTCTTTACATGGAGGTCCAGAAACAACTATTTGATGAGGTTCTAGATGTTTCTCCAAGAACCCTCAAGACCTTTCAGCTAAAACTGCAATACCCCAAGACAAACATACACACACTTCAGAATCACAAGAAGGTTCAAAACAAAGCTGCAGCTGGAAAAGACTTAATTTAAACCCACTGATTTTTATGGTTGCCCCTAAAGGCTATTTTATCTCAGGTATATTTTTGAATATTAGTTTTCATTTCCATGAATCTTCAGCATAAGCTGTTTTCTAATGTGTGACATGGCCTTATGAACTTTCCTTGCCTCAAGCTGGGAGCAAGCCTGGGATATCAGGGCCATATTAAATACTGGATTCACTGGACCCAGCAGCTCAGGGAAAATAAGCTTCACATCCTCACATTTCTCTCCAAAATCCATGGGGAGAATTCTGCATAAATATTTTATATTGCAACTCTCAGGATATCTTTTCCTGGCAAGTAAAAAAGGTAAATGAAATCTTCTCTGCTTCATTGCCTCAAGAGTTTTTTTTTAATTGCTAGTTTCCCTGGTGCAGGATATTGGTTAAGGATACAATTCTAAACATATTTACTAGGGAGGAATTCTCACTACATTCAATGGGATTTACTTCTCAGTAAGCCTGCATGATATTGAATTGCAGGAGTATGAACTGTGAGAAAAGAGTTATAATATGGGAAGTTCATCATGATTCTAAACTTCCTTCAGCCTTGAAGACATAAAATGACCTTAGGGAAGCCACTATCCCTGGCCTAAGCATTCCTCCTGTTCACAATATGGGAATAATAACATCAGCTGAGTTTACTAGGTTATAAGGATTATTGAGGTAACATATGTGATGTGTCATAAAAATGTTATATTTTTTTCCCCCTGCTAAATATTAGAATTCTTACTCCCCAGCATTTTGGTGGATTGGGTGTACAGCTATTTACTGTACCACATATACAGAGAATTGATTTCGGTGAAGTAATTTTGTGCTCTTTTCCAACTTTTAAACAAAAACAGTGATTGTTATAAAGCTAGTCACAAATCTAAGACTATCCTGGAATTATTTTCTTGTCAAATAGGAGCTCTCAGTCTTACTCCAAGAGTCATACTCCATATATTTCAAAACAATCGCCTTTAAAAACCACAACTTCATTTATACAATCTTTACCAGCCTCCTCATGTCTGTCAGCAAAATAGTTTATAGTTTAACTAGTGCTGAAAAGAGATGTCTCAGTCTTGTCCTGGAGCAACTGTTGATTTTTTATTTAGAAGATGGATAACTTGGACCAGTTCTATGATGTGTAAAAGTAGCCTGTGGAAACAATGAAAGAGATCCCTCAGATCAAGATGCCTTTCACACTGGGGTGTCTCTGAAGAAATGTGCTAATAGGGATAGACAGAAACCCGTGTGCACTGGATTCAGATCCAAAGAGTCTAGAAATGAAGTTTCCTGGAGAGTTTAAACTTGCTCTCTCTCTCTCTCTCTGGCCCAAAATAAGCCCCTTGGCCAGAGGTCTGTTTCAGTCAAGTGAATACATTTCAATATGGCAAACAGCTGTGGACCAGCACTTCCGCTGCAGTGCAATTACAAGTGTGGACAATTCATTTTACGGCAGGGCTCCCCACACCTGTCAAGCTACTTGATTACCATCTTGACACATATTGATTTTATGGTTTTCATACTTAGAACATGAAAGGATGCTACATATGCAGAGGGTTCCTTGAAACAAATTGAGAGAACACCAATCTATATCCTCCCATATAGATTCTTTGGTTTTATAAGCTTAGGAATGATCTGTGGTCTCAGACAAGTCTGCCTTTTCTTTTTGAATCCAGGACAGCCTCTACAATGGCATGCCAGAGCTTGTTGGCACCCCCCCCCCCACCTGATCCCTAAAACCATTATCCAAAGGTATCTCTTACCCCTATGCCAACATAATATATTAAATTGTGATGTGAATTGTTTTTACGTTTTATTATGAACATTTTAACTGACTTTTTATTTATTTATTTATTTATCTATCTAATCTATCCACCCATCTCTTTCTTCTATCTCAGCTGCCCCGAGTCCCCCTTCCAGGGTAGAGAAGGGTGGGGTACAAATATTCGAAATAAACATAAAATAATACATTTTTGTATTCCACTGTTTTGGATTTCAACTCCCACAATTCCTAACAGCCTACTGCCTGTTAGGAATTGTGAGAGTTAAAGTCCAAAACATCTGGAGGAAAAAAGTTTTCCCATGCCTGATCTATCTAGCAATTGTATCTCTCTCTCTCTCTCTCTCTCTCTCTCTCTCTCTCTATATATATATATATATATATATAGGGAATAGATAGATAGATAGAGGACTGAAGTTTGCCCATGCCTGATCTATCTATAGATCTATCTATAGATCTRTCTACCAACTCTCTCTCTCTCTCTCTCTCTCTCTCTCTCTATATATATATATATATATATATTTGTATAGATAGATAAATATAGAGGACCGGTTTGTCCATGCCTGATCTATCTATATATCTAGTATCTGCCAACTGTATATATCCCTATGTCTATGTTTATAGATAGATAGATAGATAGATAGATAGATAGATAGATGATAGATAGATACATGGAAATCGACAGAGAAGCAAAGTTTAACCATGCTGAATCTATCTATCTATGTACCAACTGTATATCTCCCCCCTTTCCTATATCTAGTTGTATAGATAATGGATGGATGGATAGACAGATAGATGGAGGACTGACGTTTGCCCATGCCTGTTCGATCTATCTATCTCTCTCTCCAACATGTTGCAGGGGATGGCTTATATCTATATCTATGTCTGTCTGTCTGTCTGTCTATCTATCTATCTATCTATCTATCTATCTATCTATCTATCTACCAACTGTATCTCTTCCCCTTTCCTATATCTAGTTGTATAGATAAATGGATGGATGGATGGATGGATAGATAGATAGAGGACTGAAGTTTGCCCATGCCTGATCTCTCTCTCTCTCTCTCTTTCTCTCTCTCTCTCTATCATCTATCTATCTATCTATCTATCTATCTATCTATCTATCTATCTATCTATCTATCTATCTACCAACGATATATCTCTCACTCCCTATATAAATGTGGATGGAAGGATAGCTAGCTAGCTAGCTAGCTATAGATAGATAGAGATAGATGAACAGTAGTCCTCCTGATCTATCTATCATCTATCTATCTATCTATCTATCTATCTATCTATCTATCTATCTATCTATCTATCTATCTATCTATCTACCAACTATATATCTCTCACTCCCTATATAAATGTGGATGGAAGGATAGATAGATAGATAGATAGATAGATAGATAGATAGATAGATAGATAGATAGGTGGAAGACTGAAGTTTGCCCATGCCTGATCTATCTATATATCTATCTACCAAATGTATCTCCCTCTTCCCCCTATATCTATGTGGATAGATAGATAGACAGAGGACTAAAATTTGCCTACCTATCTACCTATCAACTGTATCTTTCTCTCTCCCTATATCTACGTGGATAGATAGATAGGAAATCTATTCTGAGCTGTTGTTGTGGAAACCTAACAAAGTAACATCAAGAACTGTCTTCTTCAGAATTTCAAGGAGGGCTGGAGCTTTTGTACGGATCCCTTTGGGCTTTTGGGCACTTTTGAGGAGAAAGGAAACTGAGAAGCTTGTTGTTACTATGTAGAATTATATCTTCAAGTCGTTCCCAACCAAGGCGACCCTTATCAGAGGCTTTTGTGGAGCTGAACGTGTGTGAGTTTCTTTCCACGATGAAGGAAAGGAAAGGAAGATGAGCAAAATGTCCTGCGTCTCTTTTATATCCAGAAAGCAAATGTAAGCGGGAAAGAGAAGCGTGGGTCTTCCCAACAGAGAGCCCCGCTGCCAAATGAAACGCGTGAGAGGAAAAGAGCGCGCAAAGCACGGGAAGCGACCGGCGAGATTCCCTCTGCTGCCTCAGATTCCCCTCCGGGAGGCAACGAGTGGATCTTTTGCGTTGGGCTTTTGAACCGACGGTTACCATCCCACGTTATTTCATTCTTTTCGAGGACAATATATGTCAAATCGGGGAAACAGTGTCTCCTCCACAAATTGAGAAACACCTACGCAAGGAACTCTCGATCCTCTCAGCAGCCCCTCTCTACTGAGGGGAAATCCGTAGAGTGAGGGGAAATCTACTGAGGGGAAATCTCTCCATTACGACCTAATAGACACTCTCCCTTTCCATCCCACTGGCCCCAATAATGATGGCATTGTGTCTATATTATTATTATTATTATTATTATTATTATTATTATTATTATTATTATTATTATTATTATTATTGCGTCCTGCCCGCTAACGGAGACCAGGTGCTGCAGGTTGCATTTCAGAGAAAAGAACTGGTGCAATCACCTCAGAGAGTATTCCCCTCAGAAAAAATGGAACTGGGGTTCGCCATGTTACCTCAAAGGCACACGCCAACACAACTGAGAGCGCGGGGTGAGCTCCCTCTGTCAGCTCCAGCTCCCCATGCGGGGACATGAGAGAAGCCTCCCACAAGGATGGTCAAACATCAAACATCCCCTGGGCAACGTCCTTGCAGACGGCCAATTCTCTCACACCAGAAACGACTTGCAGTTTCTCAAGTCGCTCCTGACACGACAAAAAAAAAAAAAACAACACAATTGACAGGGAAATCAATATATTCTCTCTATATATGTATAATTATATCCCTATATATACACAGGGATATTATATACACGCTTGTCCTTTCAAAACTACATGTCCCACTCTTGTTCAGGACGCACCAATACACCCCACCCGTTAGCAAAGTTTGTTTTGTCCCTTTGTTTACGTTCTCTCAGATGTCTCAAAAGAGAGACTTCGGGACAGCGTCGAAACAAAAAAACGAGTTATATTCGACGTTACAGTAAAGTAACGCGAGCAAACAAATTATCGTGATAGCGAGGAGAGTTTATTCTTTCCCCCTTCCTTTCCTTTGGAAAACGTTACTCTTCTCGTTCGTTATGGGAATGATATTTTGTCCCATTCGGCGAGGTTTGAGATCCTTCTCTGCTCCTTCACACACACCAAAGCACACAAAGTCATTTTCATCTGCCACTGGAATAAAATATATATATATAAACGGGGGGAGTGTATGAGTTTTGCAAGTGGTAGTTACTTAAACGGAAATTGAGTCCCATTTTGTGGGAAATTAGTTTTGCAGACTTTCTGAAAAAAAATCTGCAAGTTTCCTTCAGCAGCTGCTTGACTTTCCCTCCCAGTTTTAGACTGAGATGTGGAACCTGCAGAGCTCTATGGCCGGTAAGCTCCCTTCCCATATTTTGAGATGGATCTATTCTGGTTATATATCTATATATCTTTTTCTTCTTCTTAAACCAGTTTTCTGGACGTTTTTCTGCATACTGGTGACCATAGTTGTTGGGTAACTCCCCTCCCTTCCCAAAAAAGGACCTTTCAAGAGGAAATATCTATACTCCCAATCCTGATGAAATATATTGTGCCTTGTGTTTATCATTTCAATATGTGCCTAACAACAGATATGAATGCAAAGCTCCTGCAATGGCTGGAACCTTTCCTCCCTGTATTACTTGAAGCTGCTGCTCTTAGGGAAGAAATCTTTGCCCTCCTCATAAGCATTTACTGATTATATACATATTTTATTTTGTGTCAATAGCATTGCATAAATAAATCGGTTTAAAACCTACTTTTTTTAATGTCAGGAGCAACTTGAGAAACTGCAAGTCGCTTCTGGTGTGAGAGAATTGGCCTTCTGCAAGGACATTACCCAGGTGATACCCAGATGGTTGATGTTTTTTACCATCCTTGTGGGAGGCTTCTCTTGTGTCCCCGCGTGGGAAGCTGGAGCTGACAGAGGGAGCTCAACCTGCTCTTCTGTCCACTGTTGGTTATCAGTCCTGCCAGCACAAGAGTTTAACCCATTGCATAACCATTTATTTGTCGTGTCAGGGCAACCAGTCAATTGTATTACATTTCTAACAGAACAAAACAAACAGACAAAACACAAAATTTGCATGTTTGGTAATTGATTAAATGTCCTTTGACCAGTATCTGGCCACTTGGAGTGCTTCTGGTGTTGCTGCAAGAAGGTCCTCCATTGTGCATGTGGCAGGGCTCAGGGCATTGCAGCAGGTGGTCAGTGGTTTGCTCCTCTCCACACTCGCATGTTGAGGATTCCACTTTGTGGACCCATTTCTGAAGGTTGGCTCTGCATCTCGTGGTGCCAGAGCGCAGTCTGTTCAGCGCCTTCCAAGTCGCCCAGTCTTCTGTGTGCCCAGGGGGGAGTCTCTCATTTGCTATCAGCCATTGGTTGAGGTTCTGGGTTTGAGCCTGCCACTTTTGGACTCTCGCTTGCTGAGGTGTTCCAGCGAGTGTCTCTGTAGATCTTAGAAAACTATTTCTAGATTTAAGTCGTTGACGTGCTGGCTGATACCCAAACAAGGGATGAGCTGGAGATGTCTCTGCCTTGGTCCTTTCACTATTGGCTGCTACTTCCCGGCAGATGTCAGGTGGTGCAATACCAGCTAAGCAGTGTAATTTCTCCAGTGGTGTAGGGCGCAGACACCCTGTGATAATGCGGCATGTCTCATTAAGAGCCACATCCACTGTTTTAGTGTGGTGAGATGTGTTCCACACTGGCATGCATACTCAGCAGCAGAGTAGCATAGCGCAAGGGCAGATGTCTTCACTGTGTCTGGTTGTGATCCCCAGGTTGTGCCAGTCAGCTTTCGTATGATACTGTTTCTAGCACCCACTTTTTGCTTGATGTTCAGACAGTGCTTCTTGTAGGTAAGAGCACAGTCCAGAGTGACTCCCAGGTATTTGGGTGCACTGCAATGTTCCAGTGGGATTCCTTCCCAGATGATCCTCAGAGCATTGCATAACTGTGGGCTCTTAAAACTGATAAAATAAAGGGATCACAAGCAGCGAAATAGTTTTAGCCACAAAATGGGCAACAGAGACCGCATTGTCTGTAGCTTTAAACAGTTCTTCCTCTCTGCATGAGGCAGGGCATTGTGGGCAAGCATACAGATGCTGAGTTGTTTCTTCTACTCCACAGTTGCACAAGGTGGATTCTTCTAGGTAGTGCCATTTTGCTAGGTTGTCTTTTGATTTGCTAGCTCCACTTCTGAGTCTGTTCAGGGACTTCCAAGTTGCCTGGTCTTGGTTTGCCCCTCTGAAGTGATACGTATTGATAGTTTTGATTTGTAATATTCTATTCCCAATCTCTAACTTGTTTTTCAAATTTCTTAGTTTGCCCCTGGAGGAAGACCCTCGTGGGGGACCATCCAGTTGGAATTGCCCGATTTTGCTGCCCACAGGGATATTCTTGCTGTTGCTGGAGCAACATTTAGAGGAGTGGTGGTTCTCATGAAACTTTTCATTGATTTAAGTTTACTGGGAGGAGGCTGGTAGCCATACAGTGGGTGGCTTTCGCAGTGTTTAACCTTATTTCTCTCACAATTGGAAGCAACTTCTTATCACACATCAGGGGGGCAATGCCAACTAGCTTATTGAGTCTATAAACAGGTTTAGGTTTAAGACATCCTGTGATTATTCTGCATGTCTCATTCCGTGCTATATTTGCCTGCTTCACATGGGCAGATTTATGCCATACAGGGCGAGCATACTCAGCAATTGAGTATGGCAAGGCCAGGGCTGATGTTCTTACTAATTTTGGGTTATCATTGCAGAAGATGTAAACTGTGGCTCAGCTATTTCAGATTTCTTTAAGACATATTACACTGAGAGATTTGCCAATGGGAAGAACACATTGACCTTTCAGTTGAATTCAAAACAGTGTCCTCCTTTCATCTCTTGTAGGTGCAGCTTCCCTTAAATTCCCCATTAAAGTACTCGGGGCTCTGTTCTTTTGCCCCCAGTGTCAGCACTTAATGTGCCTGATTTTCTTTTCCCAACCTGTTGCTGTCAATCATTCACTGTCCATATGGGACAAGGAGCCCTGAAAGGGGAAAAAATAGAAAGGCAAAAGAGGGTGGAGGCAGCAAAGTTCCAGCGATGAAATGTCTTGGGCTGCTAAATTAAGTCTGAAATGTTCCAGATTAAAGGCAATATGAAATACAGCATTTAATTCTAAAAAAAAGGAAGGATGCTGTCACACTTGATCCCTAATTTGTTCTTAAGCATCAGCGAAAAGCAACTGAATGAACCAAAGTTCTTCTCCCCAAACACTCCTGCCTCTCTTTCTGGGCCCTCCCAGGCAGGCCCTATATCCCAGGATCTGATCCCAAGTTTTCTGTTTGTCCCAGATTATCTGGCAGTGCAGACTCATATAATCTGGTTTAAAACAGAAAACCTGGGATCAGATCCTGGGATATAGGGCCTGTCTGGAAAGGCCCTCTGTATCTAGCAGGGGGAGGAAATAATAAAAAGGATCAATACCTATACTGTACTGATTTCAGTATATTGTAAATAGTCAGAAGTTGTTTTATTTTACTCCCCCTTCCCTTAACATGAGCTATGTGAAGAATTTTGTTTCCCTCTTCTCTATGGACATTTCTTCATACAAAGATTATGATATCCACACCATTGCTAAAATAACTTGATTTGTTAAACAGAACCAGGACCATATATGCAAAGCTTGTTTACAAAATGTACTAAATCCATCTGAACACATTTGACCGAAATCGAAAAAAGCATGCTAATGATACACATGCTTTTGCTATAAAATACTATTTTCCAACCTCTGAAGTGATACATATTGCTAATTTTGACTTGTAATATTCTATTTTCAACCTCTAACTTGTTTTTCAAATTTCTTTGGATTTGGTACCTTTTGGAAACAAACTCATATGGGAAGGGGAATTGTCTTAATTTATCATAGGGCCACTTGGGGATGTTTTCCAAATTATATCATGTAATAATTAGATTATAGAATCATAGAATTATAGAGTTGGAAGAGACCTTGTGGATCATCCAGTCAAACCCCTTGCCAAGAATCAGGAAAATCACATTCAAAGCACCCCTGACAGATGGCCATCCAGCCTCTGTTTAAAAACCTTCAAAAAAGGAGCCTTCACCACACTCTGGGGCAAAGAGTTCCACAGCTAAACAGCTCTCGCAATTAGGAAGATCTTCCTAATGTTCAGGTGGAATCTGAACAATGTATCAGATTACATACATTAATTAGCAAAATGTAGGGAAATAAACATAAATAGTATTAGCTATTTTGCCTCAAATATATCATCTTGAAAATGCAAATTATTTTGGGAAAACTGGTAAATTTATTTTTCTTACATGGATAATTCTTCAATATCACAGTCATAAAATACCATTTTTACATTTTCTAGATTTGAAAGGAATAACAATGCATCTAACAAATAACATATGTTTTTTTGCTGGATCAAAAGGAATAGGTCCCAATAGTCATCTGAAAAAATGTAGTCATTTTCCAAAATGTAATAATATATTTTATACTTACTTTTTAAATAACAATATTATTTTTAGTTTAAAGAGTCTGCATTACATACCCAAAACATTTCAATCAAAATGACATGATTTTATGTATATTTAACAGTGGTTAATACCCAATGTTCATTGGCTAGCTCATGGATGTTATTTCAATAGCTTTCCAAAGATTGTGGCTTTAAAATATTAATGCCAGTCATAGATTTCCCCAAATACACTCATTGCTACAAGCCTATTAATCTGCTCTAATTTAATTAAGATTTTTTTGATGTTGTATTCTGAAATACATTTTTGTGTAGAATTATAGAGTTCCTTCTTCCAGGAATCATGCAATTTATATATTATTAAATTCATTTTGAGACTAGTTTTTGTATCCAGCATCATGAGGTGAAACACATTCTCCTGATTCCATCTATTCTTACTTTTCACTATGATCCTGTGTACTATCATAGAAAACAAAAACTGTCTTATACCAGGTGAGGCCAGCTGAAATAAAAACAGGTCAACACTTTTAATGTAATTGCACACACAAGATACTGCAGAATTACAAAAATAAAAGACAATGCAATGGATTGTGAATGTCTCACATGAGTGAAATTCCAGCAAAAAGGATTCATAGTAGGGTCATTATGAATAACATCATTACAGATAACATCCATATGGGATATTGTAATGGAGTAAGCACCATATTGTCTGCAGTTGCCTAGCCAGGTAAGAAATATTGGCAGTTTCAGTCCATCAACATCTGGAATGCTGCACATTTTTTTTTACCCTTGATCGATGGAAATGCAGCAAAAGACCTTCAAAATGAGTTCAAAATTGAGATTAAATATATAAATATTTAGCCATTAATA